TCACCAAACATCTTCTGCACCGTCGCTCCGGGCAGTGTTCGCTGGCTCGGCCACATCCGAAGTCATATACCAGTTCGACCTGCTTAAACCTAATAAATATTTAGAAATAAATATCATACTTTGGTATCAATTCAATACTGTGAATGTTTAGGTTCCTCTACACAATGTCAGATTATATTTAATATATTAATATTTTCACAATTAAAATTGGTATTAACCAAACGATGTTGATAAAAATATCAGGTTATATATAAACAATTATATATAATAATTATATTAGTAGTACTCATATTAGTAATTATAATTATATTATAAAATATTCAGGTTATATATGAGCAATAAAACGTGTGATTTTCAGCTTATATTACTTATTTTAATTTTCATTGAATTCATTGTTACTATAACAATGGATTGCCTTATTGCATAAAATACGGGAGATCAGGCTGCATAACCGATAAACATATAATCACATTGTGTGTTCTATGAGAGAACAATTATTTTATTTATTTTCATATTTTATTGCATACGGTTTTTGATGTAGATGTTTCGTAACAAATAATTTCGCTTTATTTGTGTATCAGTCGCTGATATTTTCTGTTTTAACTGTTATTACACTAATACCCTTCTTATCCACCTTTTCTCCCATCATATGGGTTAAATTGCAAGGTAGAATTGGCCATACGAGGGGAAAAACTTTGAATTCAATGGAGAAGGCAACTGGAAAACTACTCCACTATATTTCCCAAGAAAGTACGGTTTTTCATAGTCAATAAAGAAAAGGAATCTGTGGAGAGTCATAATCGTCGACATTCTGAATGGGACATGGCATATTTTTCCCTTTAAAAACCAATAGGAGATGACGTTGTAAGATGTGATATTTGTTATTCTTATTTTCTGTTTTCATACTGGAAGTATATGATGATTAGCGGCGGGTATAAAGTGACAGCAAGCTCGCTCAAATCTATCAAATCTACTGCATGTGACTTGCCTATTGTTAAGTGAAACGAACAAAGAACAGAGAAGAGACTGTCTGATTAGTTTTTATTTGCCATTCATTTTTTTATTGTTAAAGTGTTCAAAGCGATAGCCATTCCCGTCACTTGTTCCCCTCCTCTTTTTCAGACTGTTCCTATCTATCTATCTATCTATCTATCTATCTATCTATCTATCTATCTATCTATCTCAGTCTATTCTTATCTATCTATCTGTCTAGCTAGCTCTCTTCTTATCTATATATTTATCTGTATATCTATCTCAGTTTGTTCCTATCTATCTATCTATCTATCTATCTATCTATCTATCTATCTATCTCAGTCTGTTCCTACCTACTTACGTATCTATCTATCTATCTATCTATATATCTATCTATCTATCTTAGTCTGTTCCTACCTACTTACGTATCTATCTATCTATCTATCTATCTATCTATCTATCTATCTCATTCTGTCCATTATCTGTCTGTCTGTTTATTTACACTATTTACATTGTTCGAACTGTTGTCCACATCTTTGTTGTTATATTCACGACGTTTCGTCCGTTGTACGCTCCGGTCTTTTTCAGGTGATTGGAATTTCGAACTGAACCCTTTATTTCGTCCAACGAGGTAGATTGTTTTAGTTCCACGTGCCATGCCTCTTCCAGATGTCTCAGTATCAGTTATCTCCCTTTAACTCAACTCTTCAAGTTTTTGTTCATCTCAGCTGTAGCCAGGTATTGAATTCACAACTCGTTTATTCAAGTCATTGGATTCAACCAACGCTTGTATCAACTAAGCCATGTGTCCTTGAGGAACAATCTACCCGCTTTGTACAAAATAAAGGTTTCAGTTCAAGTTCCAATCACAGTTGGGTTTTATATTCTTATAAATTTTAAATATCAACTGATTTTCATAATTCCATCAAACATACTTTTTCCGAATATTTCATAACAATGATTTCACCATATATATATATATATATATATATATATATATATATATATATATTAGATATGAATATATATATATATATATATATATATATATATATATATATATATATATATATATATATATATTTTTTTTCTTTTAAAAGAAAAACAGAACACTTTAAGGCTCCATTTGTAATAATTTATTTCACCAGAGAATTTTATTTTTCTCTGGATCTTTAGACTTCACTTTCAAAAGGTGAAACGAAAAATAAATTTAAAATTTACACTTTTGACGGGCAGTATTGACCTTATATAACTTGACATAGAAGGTGGTGAGTAATAGTGTGAGAGACATGGTCAAGTTTAGAGAGGGAAAGGAGAGTTTTAAAATTTATTTTTATATTTCTTTTTATTATAATACTTAATATTGAGGAAGGAGAGGGTAAAGATCAGGCATTGATCTATTTAATCGGTCAACTCAACGGAATACAGATATATATATATATACAGTGTAACCCGGATATAAGAGAGTTGTCGGGACCGGAGAAGTCTCTTATATCCGGGTTTCTCTATATCAGGTTTGGTCTATTTTTATACATTAACACAGGCTCTGATTTGGGACCAGAGAAAATCTCTCTTATATCCGGGTTTCTCTTATATCCGGGTCTCTTATATCCGGGTTACACTGTATATTTCTTTTGTTTTTGTTCAAGCACTTCCAGTTATTATCAAGAACTGGGTATTGTCAGTGACGTAGACAAAATTTTCTTCGTTGCATCCTGGTAATTTTTGAAACGCTGGGATTCAAATTATTTCAAATTAATCCAATGTTATTATTCGTAAAATGTAAAAATACATTTTAAAAAAATGAAATGTTAGACCTGCTGAATTTTTAAAAAAATTATTTGAATGAATTCTTGCTGCCTAAATATAGCTTACACATACAGACACAGCATACGCACACACACACACACACACGCGCGCTCGTGTGTGTGTGTGTGTGTGTGTGTGTGTATCTAGCTCTTTGTGCTGTGACTATGGATTAGATTTTAGCGCCACACAGCAAAGGCATGAGAGACATCCCCCGTTCGTTTTATTTAATGAAATATGTTCAAATAAAGTATTACTGTCTAAATACACGATGCATAGGCGAGATAGATAGATAGATAGATAGATAGATAGATAGATAGATAGATAGATATACATATGTATTTATGTATGCTTAAAATATCCGTATAAAATGATCGAAGGAAATCTGTATAAATTGTTGTTAAAAGTTCAAATATTTTGGCAAAAATTTCAAACTGGTTAAAGTACGGAAGTGACGTCATTATTTGAGCGGATGTTAGAGGATCAGGTGTGTAGCTATCAGTTTTCATTTTCATTTTCGAATAAAAAAAACTATAACATCTCATTGGTAAGGCCACATTAATTTTTTGCAAGTTTGTTTTTAAGTTTCAATGAAGTAGAAACTATTTGTATTATTTACTGATGAATAAAGGGGCGCGTGTCGTGCTGTGGTTGCATTTATTTTGGACTCTCCTATTGGAAGAAAGAAATTGTTTCGCTAAAAGCAAATAAATGTAAATAGGCATTAATTTTCTTGAACAAAATATTCGACCTCGAAGAGGGAGCTAAGATGGCTGGATATTTATGAGGATAATAAAATCTAAAATTCACTTGTTATATTTTTGACAGGTTAAATGAAATATTGATTAGATAGATAGATAGATAGATAGATAGATAGATAGATAGATAGATAGATAGATATGAAACAAATTAAGATAAAAAATAGATAGATATGAAAAGAATGTGATACCTATATAGATAGATATGAAAAGAATAGATAGATAAATATGAAGAACGTGATAGATAGATCGATATGAAAATAATGTGATAGATATGAGAAGATTAGATAGATAGATAAATATGAACATATATATAGATATAGATATGAAAAGAATAGATAGATAGATAGATAGATAGATAGATAGATAGATAGATAGATAGATAGATAGATAGGAACATATAGATATATATAAACATATAGATATATATATATAAACAGATATTTTCATATATATCTACGTGATATATATCAACAGATAAATAAATAGATAGATATGAAAAGAATGTGATAGATAGATAGATAGATAGATAGATAGATAGATAGATAGATAGATAGCGGATGAAATTAACAGCGAATTGTTCTAAAATACAATATTAATGTCACCACTGTACGAAAGAGTTCTTCGAAAGAAAGATTAAGTGAGAAAGAAATAAAAGGCAAGAAAAAGAAAATAAAAATCTTTTAAAGAAAGAAAGAATCGATAGAGAGAGGAGGGAATGAAAGAGACGGTGAGGAAGCGAGAGAAAAGGGCGGGCGGAATGTTATGAGGCGCGAACCAATCTCTTGATTAGTTCAGCGCATCTCGCTCCACTTGCTTTTCTCGAGCGCCTCATCGTCCGTTTCCTTGCTCACTTCGTCAGACAGCTTTTTCTACATGCACGCACACACACACACACAACACACACACGCACACACACACACACAACACACACACGCACACACACACAACACAAACACACACGCACATGCGCGCGTGCGCACTCGTGCACACATGCTGCTCAGACAGTGTCATCGTTAGTTATTACATACATTGCTACTTATTTCTTGTATCAATCCCCTCCCCGGCCATCCGACTTTCGTTAAGGTGACACCCACTAGAGAGTAGCGGTTTCAAATGAGAAGAAACGGGGATGGGGGCAGTGGCTTGTAGTGAAGAGGGGGAGGATATAAAATAGAACGGCAATAAATACCAGTGGGAGAGTAACGGAATGAAAAAAGAAAGGCTTGAAGGCAAAAGAATGAATCAAGGAGATCGAATAGAAGCTGGAAGAGTGGGTCGTTAATTGATTGAAATCGCTTTCACTTGCAGACCAGGTTTAAACATGTAAATAAAAGTAACGGTCCGAAGCCAATGGGATGAACGTAAAATGTTCTCAAGTCTGCCTCTGACTTGTGTAGCTGATGTCATTTTAACCCTTAACAGCCATATTATGTCCATTAATAATTCGACTTCGATGGTGTCATGGCCGACGTAGCGTACTGGGCTTTGTCAATAATACATTCAGTCTCTTCTATTAACCCATATTTTCTTTCTTTCTTTCATTTTCCTTTCTTTCTTTCTTTCTTTCTTTCTTTCTTTCTTTCTTTCTTTCTATGCATATGTTCATCTTTCAAGTTTATCTTTCTCTTTTCTTTCTTTCTTTCTTTCTTTCTTTCTTTCTATGCATTTATCTTTTTTTCCTTCTTTCTTTTTTCCTTTTTCTTTTTATGCATATGTTCATCTTTCAAGTTTCTCTTCTTTCTTTTCTTTCTTTCTTTTCTTTCTTTTCTTTCTTTTTCATTCTTTCTCTTTCTTTCTTTTTTCTTTCTTTCATTCTTTCTTTCTCTTTCTTTCTTTCTTTCTTTCTTTCTTCTTATGCATGCGTTTATCTTTCTTTCTTTCTTTCTTTCTTTCTTTCTTTCTTTCTATGCAGATGTTCATCTTTTAAGTTTCTCTTCTTTTCTCTTTCTTTATCTTTTATTATTTCATATTTTCCAACGCGAAAGGATTTTTGTATATCGCTTCTTCTTTTTTTATCTCCTACTTTTACGCCCCAAACGCAGAGACTACAGACAGATTCGTTATGAAATATTTTGAAACATTTATTATAACTAGCAGGACCCGTGTAAATGTCTTGGATTTACTAAAAAAAATTTAATGTTTCACTTTGTACTCTTTCAGTGTTTTTCAATGTTTCACTCTGACCATTCCCAGATAGTTATAAGAAAGGTGATATAGTCTCTCTTTAAAATACTGAAATGTCCTTAACAGATCGTTAAATCACGAAACTTCATTTAGCCCCTCACTACAAACAACTGCCTTTATCTAAGATGACCTCCTTCAATCTTTCTTTGTGTCGCACTCACTCTCTCTCTCTTTCTGTTTTACTCTCTATGTCGCGCTCTTTTTCAGTTTTCTTCTCGGACACTCAACACAGTTTGGGTCCCCCTCAGTCTGTAAGAAATTCATGAAGATAAAATTTTTAAAAAGATTTTAAAAGGTCGCATGCAGTTCAGGGACGAATTTGTCCTCGATATATCGTTAGGTCACGAAACATAATCTAAGCCATCACTAAAAACAATTGCCTTTACATAAGCTGACTCCACTCAAATCCCTATATGTGTACGTCTCTCTCTCTCTCTCTCTTTCTGTTTTACTCTCTCTGTCACTCTCTCTTTCTGTTTCCCTTTAATTATCTGTGATAGCAAACGTGATACGCAACATACATCGTCGCAAGCGCATTAATATATATAGAAGATTGTTTTTATCTCAAGTATCACAAATAACCTTTTAATCCAAATTGGCACAACAACAGCAACAACAACAACAACAACAATAATAATAATAATAATAATAATAATAATAACTGCACTGGAAGATATGCAAGAAGCACAAAATCGAAACCACTGAGAGATGGTATAACCACCAACCAGACAAACTTACCCAAAATAACGATGTAACTATTCTCGGGGAAATACCAATTTAAACTGACAGGAAAATAAGAGCCAACAGACCTGATATTATCATAAAAGACAAGAAATTCAAAAAGTGCATGCTTATTGACATAACAGTATCATCTGAGAGAAACACTTCCATTAAAATTATCGAGAAATTGTCCAAATACAAGGACCTGGAAATCGAGATGTGGGGAAATGAAGACTGAAACTTTACCAATAGTAACCGGAGCTCTGGGTCTCGTGAGAAAAAGAAGGGACAGTTTTACTAACAGTGTCCCATGTAACATCAACAGATAGGTTGCCCAGAAGATCACCCTACTAGGAACATCCCATATACTAAGAAAAGTGCTATCAATTAAATGACAATTCTCCTATAGGACCTAAGGACCATAGTTTGGATCCGACTCTACAGGATACAAAGCAAGAAACATAAGATACAATAATAATAATAATAATAATAATAATAATAATAATAATAATCATACAATTGCTTCGAGACAGAAAACAGGAGAATATGGCATCTCAATATAACATTATTACCTGTGGATTTGGGAATGATATCAAAAGAAGCAAGCAAATTTTGGAAGCCAGGGTTTCTAAACCAGAGGAGAATTTCGCCCAGAGGCTGGAAGTGGGGGTATCAGGGTTTTGGGGGTCAGGGTTTAGGGGTGGGGTCGGGGAAAAATCTTTTATTTTTCTTTGTTTTTTATTTACAGAATTTAGAGCGAAAATTTTGAGTGTAAAATGTGCCCGATAAAAATAATCCATGTAAATGTATATGTACTAATATAGAAAAGAATTTTTCAATAATATATGCATATTATTTGGAATGCAGCTGTTGAATGGGACAATCTTGAAAAGTGGGTGGGGGTGGATTACATTCTGACATTTGGTGAAAAGGATGCATTGGGTAAAAATGGTTGAGAATCACTGCCTTAAGATATATGAACTGATAAAAAATGGGTGTGGCGGAGCAACTCATACTAAGTAACGCTAAGGCAAAACACAACAACAACAACAATATTAATAATAATAATATTGCAAAAGAAAAACAAAAAAGACGTGGCCTCGATTGATTTCATTCTGATGAAGCTTTCTGTTAAAAGAAAAGAAGAAAAATATTTGAAAAAGTTTAAGAAACTATGTCAGTACAAGGATCTTGAGATAGGATTCAGTAGAACCGAGCATTAGATTGTAAGAATTTTTTTTTTTTTTTGGTGGAGGGGGATAATAATAATTTACTGATACGTATAATAATAATATAATGATACAAGTCTTACTAATTAACCTGTAGCTGGAGTGAGAAGAGGTGGATTCATACCTTTTCCAGTGGTATTTACGCGTAAGTGAATATAAAGAACCCAACTGGATTCGGAAATCGAAGTGTCGAGTTCCAATTCCGAGTCGCTATCCATTACAGCACGCGCATATCGAAGATTACAGCACCTGGTATTCTCCAGCGGTCAACCATCTAGGTACAGACCAGGCTTGACATTGATTAACTTCGGTGATCGTACGAGGACCGGGGTCTTTCAACGTGATATGGCCTTAAGCCCCACCGCCATGTATATCCAAGGATTCTACCTAATATAAACGAGCACCAATTCAACATCGAGATTTCTAAACCCAAACTCAATTCTAGGATGAATATTCTTTCGCTATTATGATCTATTTATTATGTACATTATAGCGTGTGCATATCTGTATGCACAGATATATATCGGTGGGCATATATATGTGTACATAGGTGCAAGTATACAAGAAAGGCTCTGATATATGCCTGGGTGTATCTATGTATACATTTGTGCAAATATATATATATATATATATATATATATATATATATATATATATATATATGATAAAATATAGTTTAAAGGAATGCAATATTTATGGTTCCCATTGCTCATTATCAGCGATAGTGCGTATGTAAATATAAAAGTGGACATTGAAGTCATCACCCAGCGGCGACAGTCTTGTTTCATGTTTATTCGTAATCGTCATGCATGGTCTGGCGATTTCGTATAAGCATGAAACAGTCTGTCGCCGCTGTTGACTTCAATGTCCACTTTTCTACACACACACACACACACACACACACACACACACACACACACACACACATATATATATATATATATATATATTAGCATGAAACAGTCTGTCGCCTCTGAGTGTTAACGCTCTAACTCTGATATTGAGCACTTTATCCCATACCTTAAAACTATATTTCTCCATATATATATATATATATATATAAAGGGTGTTTCATTAAGACGGATCAAAGTCTGCAGTAAATAAATCAGTGTTATTGGTGAAAATTTATTTATTTTTCTATTGGATCATGTTATTTAAGTCATGGCAATTATGTGTGAAAAATAATATCGCCCAAATATCCGCCAAATCTGAAAGAAAAAAGAAAAAAAATCATTAGACACTGAAGTGGTCCAAGTTATTGGAACACCCTTTATATAATATGTGTGTGTGCGTGTGCGTGTATGTATGTGTGTGTATGTGTGTGTGTGTGTGTGTATAAAAAAAACAACCCCTTATTTTAAAATCCAATATTACCAAACGGCTCTAATATAGATATAAATAAAAACAAACAAACAGGCGGACAGACAATCTCTTAAGTTTGGACATTGGGATGTGATAAGCTAAGGTAATTGCATTTGCATTATGATTCCCACTTATCCTCAGAGATGTCAAGGCATTTTCCTCATGTACAGTTTTGTATTTCTTCCATTCTAACCCGAGGAACTAAAGAGAGCATACGCTAGCCGGCGAAACGAGTCGTTAATAAATTTTCCACTTTGTGACATCATCTTCACCTTTTGTTTCTGATACTATTATACCTCCTACAAGCACACATCCACCTTTATAGTGTCTAATAACAAAACAAAGCGTATATAGGGCTACAGGGATGTTCACGCTTTTAACTATCATGGCTTCTTTATGACTACACTCCCAGCACCAGTTTTTCACTATCATGTGATTACGATTTTCAAATGGACAGAGCGAGAAACAATGTAGACTTTGTTTTCGCACTAATAATCACGCCGACTGTTTGCAGTATTTTAATAGTCGTTAGTTAGGAAATGAAAGAATAATCTCTCCTAACAAGCAGACTTAACCCGTCATTGACTGATGTAGCGAACGCTTCCAATAAACCGGCTTATTCGGGTCAGACGAAAGCAATTCATTAAGTACACATTTATTGGCTTTGCTGCTTTCAAAGCCAACAATACACGGCACTTATTATTATCTAGAACAATTATCTCGACGAAAAAAGCTGCAAGGAATCAAATGCAATGGCCAATCAGCAAATACAGATATTTTCGTCAGTTTTTGTGTTCGAGTAAATTGGCTAATTAATTACGAATGTATTTATTAATAATTGAGCGAGTTATTTAAAAAAATACTCTAACGTTATGGTAGCCATTGTCAAGGAAGTAGCAACTCTTTCCAGTTATTACTGTGTGTGAAATAATTATGAGGCAGTGAATAGCCAAAGTACTAACTCACTCGACTTACGGTCACATCACGCTGAAACACCGGTTCTCGTACGATCACCGAAGTTAAGCAACATCAGTACCTATATGGGTGACCGCTTGAGAATATCATAAGCTGTCAGCTTGGATTTGAGGATTGTGGAATGGATTACGGCTCGGAATTGTTAATCGGAGAGCCGAGTTCATATTCCAGTTTAGTTCGTTATATCCACTTACGCACATTTGGGAAAGGTATAAATTTACCTGTTCTCCCCCAACTATGGGTTAATTAACAAGATTTGTGTCATTAAACCATTATTATCTCCAAAATGCGTACAAAATGTTTAAAATCGGCATTAAATAAACTATAAAGGTCAATATGCCGCTAAACAAAATACAACCTATCAACAGCTCACTCACTCACTCACTTTCTAGTTAACCATGCCAGAAACTGAAGCAATTGCAACCTCTCTTAGAATTCTCATTAAATTTCTGAAACGAGGCTCTATTACGATTGAAGGTATCATTTAAACTAGCAACCTTACTGCTTCTTGTTTCTCTTTTACAATATTTCGACCGGTCGCTATATTTCCAGCCTTCTTCAAATGTCTATTAAATCAGGACATCTACAGGGATTGCGAAAGGTGTACATATTTAATTTAGCTTTGATTATTATCCCCAAAAGAAGAATAAACAATACCTACATAATGACGAAAAAACTTCCTTTTGCCACCGAACTATGCGAGCAATGTTTAGTGATTCCGAGGCTCTCACCAGTGGGGAGTTCAACCGAGACCTGATAACTGTAACGAGTTTCGACCAGCTGCAGGCTAAATCTGAACATGGAACTGATCTCCTAGCACAGTATTTACATTAGTCGGACTATTGTCCTCATCTTTGTCGCCATATTTGTCACAACGTTTCGGCCGTTGTACGCTCCGGCCTTCTTCAGGTGGTTGGAATTTCGAACTGAACCCTTTATTTCGATCGCTGGGGTAGACTGTTCTAATTCCACGTGCCATGTTTGATGGATGTCAGTTATCAGTTATCTCCTGCTAATTTTCCCTCTGAAAGTTCTCCACTGCCTTAACCAGGAATTGAACTCACCTTCTTTGGGTCTGTCACTGGATCTAACCAACGCCTTTATCCACTGTGCCATGTGTCCTTGAGGACACATGGCACAGTGTCCTCAAGGACACTATGGAATTAGAACAGTCTACCCCAGCGATCGAAATAAAGGGTTCAGTTCGAAATTCCAACCACCTGAAGAAGGCCGGAGCGTACAACGGCCGAAACGTTGTGACAAATATGGCGACAAAGATGAGGACAATAGTCCGACTAATGTAAATACTGTACATAATACCTCATCTCAGAAATATAGACGATCTCCTAGCAGTCTAACCAGTACAGCAATGACACGGCATCGGTGAGTGTGAGTGGGATTTTCCTAGACTGAAGTCAATGAACAGGGCGGTGGGTTCCGCCGATGGAATCATCGGCCACGCGTCCGTGATCAAGACGACCCCTCAGTTTGAAGGGCATCACCTGTGGTTTGACCTGGAGAGGGATGGCCTCCGCCAGGTCTAGTTGCCTCAGACACGCTGCGCATAAAAGAATGCCTCTCTGGTTTTCAATCCAGATATATGGAAGGAACTGGTCAGATACTCACTTGCGACCCTACCACCACACAAGGTCATGGGACTGATGATGATGATGATGATGATGATATTCGTTCGAGATTAGAGGCACTGAATTGTTGACACTTAATTAAATCAATACAAATATAAAATATTTTCTCATTTTTACGGGCAAGACCTAAAAGTTTTTTTTTTTTTAAAATTGTTATTTTTTTACGCATTATCTCGAATATGATTCGAGGATTGTTAAGTTCAGCGTTTCAAACGAATTTAGCATATGAAGCTCTTATTTACTTTCATTACATATGACGTAAACTTTTTTGGAAGTAGTATTCTAAGCCGTCCTTATATGGAAACGAGGCATGACCGAATATTGGAACGCTGATGTAGATTATTATTGAAATAAAATATGGGGTCACAACTTTTTAATTATATTTCAGCTTTCACTTACGAAAAACGTTGAAATAAATTTTGTTGCATTTAGAACGCAATTTTTCGTTTTTATTTCAAATGGATGACTTTTCAAATCCAAAAATGTGCTCAGAATATGAGTTTACTTTCAAATATCTCAGTGTTTGGTATTGATGATTCGTTTGAAACGCTGAACAGTACCCAATAATTGTATAAAAATATTGTTTAGTTTACCCCCCAAAAAAAAAAACAAAACAAATTTCACCTTAATGGCATTAATTGAAAAGTAAAAATAAACATTTTAAGATATGTACTTTGATGTCATAATGTTGCGAATTTTTTTCAACATTTATATGTAAAATTTAATAGGAATAAAAGAAACTGAAAACGAAAGAGAGAGAAAGAGGGAGAGAAAGAGAAAGAGAGAGAAATATTTCACGCTCATATCATTAGAACTGAGCCGTTCTTGTAAGCCCCGCCTCTTGGCAAGTGCGCAGTGATGACGTATGGAAAAAGAGACTATTTTTTTTGTCGCTCGCTCCGTAAACACAACAGTGCGTTGATTAAATTTCCGTTTTACTTCTCATAGTAAATATTTGCGAAGACTTTAATGTACAGTTTATCCAAGTTCCAACCGAAATTAAAAACATGTTTTATCCTTATTCGTTAAATCATTTTTTTAATTGAATTGCATGATGGGAAGAAAAAAGAACCGGAAGAGAGAAACGGAAGAAAAAAAAATGCAAAAATGCAATAAATGAATAAAAACAAAAGCAATAGAGGCGGAGATAAAGAAAGGAATTATTATAAACTTAATCAATTAATTAATAAACAAAATTTTGTGAAACCGTAAGTGGAAATAATGTAATGTTTCGATCATTCCACACGGATTAGTTCTGAAACGAGGCTGAGGAGTTTTCATTCCGCGTCTGACGATTGCCACGTGCATGACACTCAGTGTTGTACTAAACAGTGAGGAACAAAATATATATTTATTATTAATAGCATAA